CTGCCTCTAAAGCCCCAAGAAGCAACTTTTAAATCCCTTACCGGCAGCTCGGAGCGAGCCACACCAAGGGGAGGCTTCCAGGTATCAGCGAGGGGAAGAAGGCAGGGAGAAGGAATTTACAGGATGGCACTGGATTGTTTTTGGAAGAATCAGGGACCAAAAGCAACCTGTTTTTCTTCGGCCAGACAGAGTTGAAACTGGGAACCAGAAGCAAGGAGCACAGAGCTGTGGCTTCAAATTAACTCTGTCTCGAGGCCAATTGGACATCACAATACCCAATCCTGGCTAGTCCTGGAAAATTCCTCTGGAAGATGGTATGTTTTTTTCTGTTTTAATTTTCTCTGGCAAATGAAATAGACATAAGCTTATTCTTCCTTTGTTTTCATTTTTACCGTTTTAATCCAGGCTACATGTTAGAGAGTCATAGAATCTCAAATGAGCACATTGCTCTTACGGTTGCTACTAATATTTAAAAAGTTGCATAAAATGCATTTACATAATAATAAAAAAACAGGACCTTGCCACACATTAAAAGCAAATGAAAATGCAGAAACTGGTCAACAATTCTACACACATCTAAAAATGTCAAAAGATTATTGTTTCTTCAATTCTGTGACTTCCATATATTACACAACAGTGTGAGGTTGCCCTAATTAGCATACTTAGGCAATTCTTACATATCCACATTTTATGATAATGTTGATAAATACACATACAAAGGAAGGGCTGCTGGAAAATATAAAATAAAAAAGTTCCAGTTTTCTCAAACTTAAAATAATGTATACTCTTCAGGTCTGAGTATAAATTGCACATTAGCAAATACAAAGGAAAGACAAAGAACCACTCTTCTTGTTAATTAAATTACCCTCTTGTTAGAAATAATCACATAATGGGTACAATTTGTAATGGATATAATTTTCAACTATAAGCTATATGAAGGGCACAAGAATTGCTGAACACAACAGATTTTCTCCCATTCTTTATTCTTCCATTATATGCATACAGTCTTTAAACTGAAAAGATCCATTTAGCAAACAATCAAATCTTTATTATGATCATAAATATCATTACTTTGAATACCCTCAAACTAATGTTATTTCTCTTTTACAAATTTCTCAAGACCTCTTCCAAAGTAAGATCTAATTGAAAGCATGTTCTTGAACATAAAAAATGAACAGATAAGATTAAAAAAGGCCTATTCTTATGAAACTATCATCTTTACTCTGTACCCAAATTTTTCATTTTAGTTAAGCTTCAGTCCTCTCCAATTTCTGCTTTTTCAACTGTGAGGTACTTTTTCTGAAACAAAACAACTAGACCTGAATAAGTATGCCAGACAAAGTCACACTGCCAATTTATATAAACAACTTAATAGCTGTTTTAAACATTTTCCTTCTTATTCCAAACCATGGATCTTGCCTTTTGCACTGCTACTATATATCATCATTTTTCTAGTGAACTACTCAACATAATGTGAAAAATGGAAGAACTAAATACACTTTGGTATCAAAATGAGGTGGCAGTAAGTAGGGCAGAAGTTTCAATAATAAGTATAATAAAATATAGTGGCAGTTGAGCATTACACTAACACTCACAAGCATTTGAATAAATTCATATTTAAAACTCACAAAATTCCCTATAAGAATATTGGGATTTCAGGTACCAGAATTCCCAGCCATTATCCTCTAGAAAATTCTGGAAGTTGGACACATGCAGAGAGAATCAAGCTGAGGAAAATTCATAAAGGCAGTTTAAACTGCAGCATCTAGTTCCTGTTATGATCAAGATGAAACTGAAATTAAAATGGCTATTTATATTCAGAACAATGGCAAGCAAAGAACATAAATACCGATAGTTGTTTTCTCAGCAGAAAAGCTGTATAATATGAAAACACATACGACAGAAATGTGACATGCAGAAGAAATGTAAATAGTTAATGAAATGCAAAAGAAGTTAAAGCAGATTACCTGAAGGCTCACTCATCTTTGATGAAAACATAGAAAGGGGTTTCTCCTTTTCTTTAACTGAAACATCTTGGCTCTCAGCTCCCTTTCTTACATTGACTACTTTTTTCTCTGAGGGCAAAGGAGTAACATCAGGGGAGAAATCCTCCTTAGTTGTTTCGTGTACTTCTCTGTCCAGATCTTCAGAGGATTTTTCTAAACAAAGATCCTGCTCTTCAAATTTGCTATGTATGTTTTTTAGAGACAAGTCCTGTGCTACTTCTTGGTAAGCAGGTGGTATGAGCTCAGCTTGAAGAGTTTCACAACGATTTTTATTTTCATTCTCCTTTAATATATCTTCAGTACTTCTCATCAGCTTGTCAACTTGATAAGGGACTGTGCCATCTGCTTCTGCAGAGGACTGTGCAGACAGCACAATTTTCTCTTTCACTATGGGTTCTTTAAAAACAGAAAAATCATCAGTATAGCCACCAAGTTCTTCCATATGTTGCTGCGGAGTCTTTTCTTTCTTAGCTAGATCTGCAGCCTCTGCTTCCAAACACCAAGTAGTTGTTTCATTTTTTGAAGTTTCCAGTTGAGGCTGGAATGACTCCAAATAGGGTTCACTAAGAGAAGATGGTACTTCTTTGTATGTTTCTTTCTGGCCTCCATTTGGTATTATATTGGTAGTTGTTTCAAATAATGATCCTTTCACAGCTTCTTCTTTCTGCACAAGATTAATTTCAGGTTGACCACTAAATGAATAGCTTTTGTCAGATGGCAATGAGGTCCATTCAAGATGCTCACTGTACTCAGGCACAGGTTGTGATACACACTCTGTGATTTCTGCTTTTGAATAATCTGTGAACTCTGATGAAGATACTTTAGTCTCTTTAACTAAATCACATGCAATTGATATATATGAAGTATCTAAATCTTCTAAAGGTGAGTTATTCTCATTGTTGGGTTTCTTAGCAGCTTCAACTGTGCTTTCTTTTGCCTGTATTACTGGTACATTTGTTGCTTCCTGATAAGATGGAGGCTTCTCAGATTTCTGTATTACATTCTCATAATCATTCTCATATTGATCAGCAGCAGTGAATGTTTCAAATGGGGATATTTCAAGCTCCACAAGAGGCCCTCCAACCACAGCAGAGTTTGCAGTTAATGGCGCTTCCATAACAATATCTGGTAAGATAGGGGATGGAGATGTTTCAGACCCTCCTTCAAAGGAAGGACAGAGCTGTACAGCAATATTCAAAGACTCTTGTGATGATTCAGATGTTTGAACCAAATCAATCTTTGTTTCATAAGCAAGCTTGGGACTAATTACATCATGAAGTTCACTCTCAAAAGCTTCTTGAACCAAATCTGGAGTTAGACCTTCAGGGATATTAGTATCAGAGTCCTTCCTCAACAAAGTATCGTCTTTCTTTGAATCAACTTTCTGCTCTTGGTCACTTGTCAAATCAATATGGGTACTGCTAAATTGGTCCATCATTTCTGCTATCTTTTTCTCATCTGTTTTATTTTCATATGCCTTTTCTTCTGTTAGAGGGAGAGATGTAACCATGTTGCTCTCAATTTTCTCTGATGATTCAAATTCTGTACAAGTAATGTAAGATTGTGAAGATTCCTTTGAGGCTTCTGGAGTGTTAGGGAAAGAAATATCTTCATTGCTGCTTTCATTCTCTTTTTCAATGACTTTATGGGCAGACAGAGTCTTAGTGTCCTCGACGTATTTGTCGGCAATACTTTCTAATTTATTGTCTACCTCATTCTCAGATACATCCTTAAAATTATTTTCATTACTAACCCAGGAGAGTTCAAAAGGCTTTAAATCTGCATATTCATCTCTTGAATAATGATTATCCACTAAAGTTATATTTTCACCATGATCATAGATAGCATGCTTTCCCTCTTTTTTATCTTGCTCTACAAATAATTCAACAGGTGATTCTGGAGAAAAATCCTGTTGGCATACGGGTAATTCTTCTGTATCAGGAATTCTTTTAGTATCCAATGGTTCCTTAGTCTGAAATAGGCAGAATGAATGATCCGCAGTGTATGAAGGTTTTACATTTGCAAATTCATTGCCATCATCTGCAAGGAATGGGTTTTGTGCAGTCTGGGTAGTAAGTTTAAACACATCACTCCCAATTGGACTGTAACTATGTTTGGTAGATAGTTCATCTGATATTGTATCAAGAGCCGCATACTCTTTAAAAGGATTGACTGAAAGAGTAGAGAGGGAGGGAAGAGAAGCAGTAGCATCAAGAGAGGCAGCAGCAAAATCTTCTTGCCTGGCTGAGCATGCATGACCCAGTTGTTCTTGCAAGTCCATACCTTTGTCTGTGGCCGTGGACAGAAAGGACAGTTAGCAGCAATGCAAGTAACCTCAAAAGTTAAAGCAATGCTAATGACAGGTTCCAAAACAATGGCTAGCCCAAATCTTATTGTAGAATGATTAACAGAAAAAGCATGCAAGATTAAGAAAATAGAATCAAAGTTAATGAAGCTGTGAATGCTATGCAAAAATAATAAACCCCTGGAAGAATTCAGAACAGTACTAAGCGTACAAGGTTCATAACATAGATAAGAGTAATGGTTCTCCTTTATCTTAATTATCCCCTCTGTTTTTTTAAAAAGTTACTAATAAGGAAATATTATCTCTGAACAATAATTCAGAGACTGGCTAGTGGCTACAGACAGCAATTTCTTTTTCCCTCTGCTGCTTTTTCTGTTATGTGCATTAACATTAGCTATGTTCAGTACTAATCAGTTTCAGTAATAAAACTTGTTCAGCATTAACCAGAATATGTACTAACAACGTAAAAAGTAAACACTAGGAAAGAGGCAATTAATGCTAGGGGAAAGGAAGAAAACACAAGCCTGTAGCCTATTTCCGGTTTTAAAAATTGGTAATCATTACACTTGTACTGGTCCATATAACATGATAAAAAGGAAAAAAAAAACTTATTACAATTACAGTAGCAAGCAGCACCAATACTAATACATCATTAATTCTACATAATTAATGCTAACTATGTCAGCAATAGGAGCTATATTAAAAACAGTTTATCAGTACCTAAATCATATTGTAGAGAAGGGTCCAAGAATTCAAAAAGTGTGTTTTGAATTTAAAAACATTCACTCTGAATTTGTATTTTATTTTATGTCTCTAAAAAAACAAACTTATGTTTATTAAATTTGGGTTTAACATTCTTGGATCCAAACCAAATTTTAGTAAATACACAAAGATGCTATTAGTGGGAAGGGAATACAAAAGACACTGGGCGTACTCTAATGCAAAAGTCTAGCTGAAATGACTTGCCTGCAGAAGAATGCATCAGAGGTTCAGATGCAACAGGAAGAGCAAAAAGTGTGTCATCTGAAAAACAAATACAGTATGACCTCAGCAGAAATAAGTATGGAAAACAAAGTATTTTCAAAAAATAAATAAGGGAAGGCAATATTCAGTTTACAATCTTTAACAGATCTTTTGCACAAGAGAAATGAAGAGAAAATATGAATATGGGAGTTACATGCTATATGTCTCCAGTTTTGTACTACAAACAGCATCCTCTATATCAGCTGGAAGTGTACATATATCAACTATATTAAAGGGAGATTTGGTTCACCAGTCAGAACTCTCACAAAGCACATTACATTAAACCAAATCAAATGTAGAAATTATTTAGAGCATCTAATGACTTCACAAATGCAGATAAATATTTCAGTTAATTTTATCATCACAAGGACAGTTTTATGGGCTTCCGGTAAGAGAGAAGGACTCCACTTTTTCTAGCCTTCCACCTTAATATGTAAAGTTAATATGTAAATAGGTATTAAATAATAATTGTATCTTTGGTAAAAACTAAATACCACAGTGAACTTAGCAATGTAAAATAATTTTAGGAACCACTTTTCCTAAATTGTTATTATTATTGAACAATTAATATAAAGTTATAAAACTGCAAGATAAGCAAAATGCAATATGCTAGATTGAAATTTCGTATTTGTATAGATGAATCCTTTTTCTTCTTCCACAAATCTAGCAAGTTCTTGCTGCATTTTCATTTAATTCAATAGTCCGTAATATACAATAATACTGAGGGATTTACACTGAATCAAACAGTAAAACAACATCAATTCAGATACTGACAAAAAAAATCAGAGTTCCCCCAGCTTTTAGTTCACATCTTTGAAGAATTCTGTCAGGCAATTTTACAAATAGAATGCTGAAGAAACGAAAAGTGCATACTAGTTCTGATAAGTCCTTTGATTCAAAGTGTCAAAGTAACAGGATTCGGTTTTCCAAATCAAATTTTAAAAAGTATCTATGCTCTGCTACATTATCAAAACAATTCAGACAGATTTGATTCAATTCAACTACTTGATTTGATTTGGAAAGTCAAATCCATTCAGATACTGTACTTTATTGAATTGTCTTCTAATCCAAGACAAGATACTGATGAGGTTACAGTATTCAGATATATATAACAGAGATGCTTTGGATTTGGTACGGGCACTTAACTATGCCTTTCATGAGTTCCTTGGAGAAACGTACCATTCAGACCACAAAAGGCATGGCCTGGGTTGGATCTGATTACTACATTGCTCTATGCTTTCTAAATCCATCCGCTAACTGTTTGCGCTAACGTAAAATACATTTGATCTTTAAAAACTATTTAGAAAGTGAGCAAACCAGGCCACATTTAAGGGAGGCAATGCACATTATAGCTGCGTAACAATAAAGGTAGATAGCTGAGCCCCTCTCAGTACTTTTGTAGAAGGTTTGCTTCCAAAAGTTAGTATAAGTAAAATATCTCTGTAGTGCAGTGGCAACAGAAAAAAAAATGAAGGAGCTACTGGCAGATCATTTTATGCAGTTATAACTGCTCATAACTATAGACATACACCTGCTGGAAGTGTTGTGGCATGGGACCCTAACATAATGTAGAGGAAATTCCTTTTGAATATTATTGTTTGGGTATTTAATATTCAATTGGAAGGTTTGGCTACATATTCGTTATTGGATTTTAGTCTGCTGCACATCAACTCCTGTATCCCTGTATCCCTTATACTGATGATATAGGGGTGTACTATCAACAGTCTTATATGGACTGCAGCCTGTGAGAATAAAATTGACATGGTATAGCTAAATGTCTATGGAGATTCTCAGTAACCTAGGTCATGGTTGAAGAGCCAAAGAAGCTTCTTGGATAAGAAGAAAAATGTCTTCAAAGAAAAAGAAAAACCAGAAGGTTTAGTTGCCTCTTGAAAAAGCAGCTTTGGGACAATTGACATGATATTTAATTTGAACAAATGGCATGTCAGTAACTGCCTTTAGAAGCTGCTCTTAGTCATTATCACAAGCATTACAGATAGTCCTCAACTTATCACCACAATTAGAAGAACTCCCATCACTAAGCAATGTGGTTAAGTGAATCATTCTGAATCATTACTTTGGAAACCAACAGGCCATGCCCTCTATGAAGTGCCTTTTTTAGTCCAATGTAGTATCAATCTGTCACATGGTCCTCTGTGGAATGAAGGGCTACTATGGCCTAAGTAGAGAAGCTACGCTGGCTGTATTTCCCTGTGAATAGTGGCAGTATTCTTAAAGCAGCTATCAGGTTGCATAACTCTCATCGTTCTCAGGCAATGCTGGAAAGGAATTCTAGGCCAGCTAGGACAATCCTTTGCACTACAGATGAGTACTGGGGAGCACAAGTGGGTGCTAGAGAATGTAATCCAGCAAGTGTTATGGGTGGAAGGAATGTGGATTGTTGGCCTGGCAGCAGCAGAAGTAACTATAACCTGAATAATTTATCACATGACCAGGTGATGCTGCAACATGTTTTCACACTTATAATTTTAAATGGTTGCTGAATAGTTGCTGAATAAATGGATGTTAAGCATCCATTAAGGAAGTGTAAAAGGCTTTTTTCTATAATATGTTACTTTGAATGAATATTAAGATTTTAGTTTTTAATGCATTTCCAAGATCAATTCATGGAGTTGATTGAGTTTTATAGTACCAGATGGTATGAGACTATGACATAAAACAATTTTTATTGGTTATGAATTTAAGAAAAGCCTATTGCTAATAATGAGACAAGAAAGGCTAACCTAATGGGAATCAGAAAAGAGAAAGTTACCACTCCACCAACTCCATATTTCAAGGAGCAGAGAAATACAGAAATGTTGCTCCATTATTGCACTAGCAAGTTGCTCTTTTTTATTCTCTACACAGATTTGCATTCTTGTTTCTGCTTATAGTGGTTTCATTCATCTGCAGATTCCGAACCAAATACTTTTTCACTCTTACACATATTATATGCTACTTCTTTTAGAAAAGCAGCTGAAAAACATTGTTTTAAAATATTTCTCCATTTCATTAGTGGTATATGTTATATTGAACACCCCTTCAAATATAACATATTGTACCAAACACTTCTGCTCTTATTTTGGAATTTTCCCTCAATTTCTAAAACCCAAATTTTATTTAGCCTTTGATTTCTTAATATTTAATTAAGCAAAGGAATTAATTCTAGTTCTATTCTGACCACTCAGCTCTATACTTATTCAACAGAAGAAAAGGATCTGGTAATGGAAAATAAAGACACACATTATGAAATAATTTTAAAGTAAATGTAGTGATTAAGGAACAATGCTGAGGGAGACTGTGAGTTGCAGGCAGTGAAGCCAGGTGAGTGACTTTGAACTAGTTACTTTTTGTCAGTCCTGGGAAGAATGATAATTCATTCTGAAAATCTTGCCAATAAAACTCAGTCAGGAATAACTTGGAATCCATCCCACAAGTTGCTAAGTAATTTATCATTAGAATATTACCATTTGTTATTGCTCTATGGCTTGAAAATATAAACAAAAACATGTGTGCATAAAAATTTTGTTACTTTATACCATCATGTAAATGTTTATAGTTTTAACTACTCTATTACTATGATAATTTTTTTGAAAAAATACAAAATAAGAAGCAGCTAGACATTAGGAACAGCTGGTAAGCATTATATATCAAGGAGACCAGTGGTTTTCAACCTTTTCTACACCACGGACCTCTTTTAAATAACTTTTGTGGCCATGGACCATGGCCACAGACCCCCAAGACTTAACTCAAGATCTAAATTATAACATTTCTTCAAGCCTTTGCAGATCTCCTATGACATCACACCCACCCCAGGGGTCCGCAGACCATAGGTAGAGAACCACTGGAGTAGACCACTGTAGAGAAAAATACGCATAAAAAAACTTGTCTTTCTATATTTATATTTCTTTGAATTTTGTAAATCAATTTGCCAATTAAAAAGAGAATACCTGGACAAAAGTGCAAACAAGCATGAACATATTTTAAAAATATACCAAAATGAACAGCATACACAAATCTGTTTGCAAAATTAAATGGGTTATACAGAACTGAAAATGTGGAAAAACAATTTTAATGAATGCATATTTTTAAAAAACCTAAATAATTTACAAAAATGAGAAATTAAAACAAACTTAAATAACAGGTTCTCAAATCTTAATAATCCACAAATTTTAAGATTTCCATTTATGACAGGTTTTGTTGCAGCATCATGTGCAATTTAAATAGGATCAATTCCCCAAAGGAACATATTCTCAAAATGCTGTCTGAGAGTGAGTAACAGATCAGAGGAAAGGTACTATTTCATTTTAAATGTGAAAAAGATTTAAGTAAGTAAGAGGATATTTAAAATATCTATTGATGCTATCATTATATTTCCTCTTCAGCCCAGACAAAATCAACTCAGATTTATAGGCAAAAGAAACACAGATGGGTTTGCAACTTCCCATGATGACATGCCTGCTTGGAATGGAATCTGCTATCTGTCTAAAATACTACTGGGCAAGTAAACACCCATAATCAGAAGCCTTCCCCTTCCGAACAGGGTATCCTCTTATGAGAGGGTAAGAGTTCATCATCGGAAACTGGATCTCAGCATATCCTTCTATGAAAACATTTCCCTCAATTTGGAAATTATCTCTTCATTCTCAATCTCTGTGACACTGAGGAAGCTACCCTCAGGAGCAGGACAAATGTCTAATTCCAGAAAGTCTTGTCCACACGTCTTGCTGTCTTTATGGGCATCTACAACCCAACCAACTTGATTTCCGTGGAAGTAGTTTCTTTTTTTAAACCAGCAGCTCATTGCACTGAGCAAGTACTTTTTATACCTATTAGGCACACCATTAGTTGTTGAGAATAGGAGAACAAATCCAGACAATCACATTGTCTGATTTGGAAAGAATTTTTTTGCAAATTATGGTGGAAAATAAGTATTTGGTCACCTACAAACAAGCAAGATTTCTGGCTCTCACAGACCTGTAACTTCTTCTTTAAGAGGCTCCTCTGTCCTCCACTCATTACCTGTATTACTGGCACCTGTTTGAACTTGTTAGCAGTATAAAAGACACCTGTCCACAACCTCAAACAGTCACACTCCAAACTCCACTATGGTGAAGACTAAAGAGCTGTCAAAGGACACCAGAAACAAACTTGTAGACCTGCACCAGGCTGGGAAGCCTGAATCTGCAATAGGCAAGCGGCTTGGTGTGAAGAAATCAACTGTGGGAGCAATAATTAGAAAATGGAAGACATACAAGACCACTGATAATCTCCCTCGATCTGGGGCTCCACGCAAGATCTCATCCCATGGGGTCAAAAT